TAGTGTTACTGTGAAGATGGGTGTGTAAAGCTATATGGGCGGTGGGGTAGCCGAGCTGGTAACGTGTATGGCCCGAGGTCGATTCCCACACAAGGGAACATTGTGTGAAGTCCATTTCTGGACCCACTTGCACAAAGCAACCTTAACACTAAGATGATCGTTACTCCCATACGTTAACATAGGCTTACAATAGTCATAGCTCTAAGATCGCTTTGTGCAAGTATGCCCTGGTGTCTCCTGCCAAGCTGCTTCTGGGAGTTTGCTATAAGTGGTGTGTAAAGCCATTCATGATTCTGTCATTATAGCCCACATCATAAAAAAATGTTTTTGATTTCGTCGAATGTGAATAGATAGATACACAGACAGACAGACACTCACACAACGTACTTAGAAAATATATAGATTGTGAATAGAACTCATCCTTGACCAGTTTCTGGGAAACATTCAAGCTTTATCCTGTTTGTATTTATCAATACACAGATTTGATTGTGTTGATCTCGATGAAGGCGTGTCATACGTCAAACCTATATTTTAAGAGACGTTCGTCATTTGTAGAAATGCCAAAGTCTTATGATCTGTGTATGCTGAAATATATGACAGGTTAGTTCGACGTGTAAACATATATTTGCTTCTCCATGGGTAAAAATGTGGGTTTATTACAAATAAGTGACATGAAAAGCGATATTTTAAAATAGATCGTCGTTTGTATTGTGGGAGTAAAACATGTATATTTGATATGTTGTCTTCCTCTACAAGTCAGCATACTAAAGTGTGTGTGTGTGTGTGTGTGTGTTTGTGTGTGTGTGTGTGTGTGTGTGTGTGTGTGTGTGTGTGTCTGTCTGTCTGTGTGTGTGTGTGTGTGTGTGTGTGTGTGTGTGTGTGTGTGTGTATGTCTGTGTGTGTGTGTGTGTGTGTGTGTGTGTGTGTGTGTGTGTGTGTGTGTGTGTGTGTGTGTGTTTGTGTGTGTTCTCTTAAGTGTCTCTATACACTTCTTCCCTGACTCTCCTTAAACTGTCATACACAAACAGTTTCGCGACCGACAGGGGCAACACGCCGTCGATGCAGTCTATTTGTTGAGGCCAAACCATAACTCAAGCCATGATGTATGATCTAGCAACTCAGTACCTGTCATGATGTAAACACGTGTCTGATCCCTCTTTCCTGAACATATCCCTGTACTTTGGGCAGAATAAACGAAGCACTTTGGTCACAAATGAAAACAAGAAGCCTTCAAATTGGTTTACTTAAACATATCCATGCTGGCTTGATCAACAAAGCGGTTATATCACAGTGTGTCCTGAGGCAGAGCCCGTCAAGATGAAACAACGTGTCACAGACAGGACAACTCATTACCGAGCCTTACCGAACACTGTCTTCGAGATCCAGCAGTTTACGCGGACTGACACCAAGGTACTAATCTACCTTAATTTGGTAACAAATGAAACCCTTCTAGATAAATACCACCCCTGTTATCCAGTAAGAAGTCGTGAGATGTTGTCAATGAGTACTAAAGCTCCCTTTTGGGATGGATACCCGTGTAATCAACGAATTACGTGGTTAAATGAACTTCTAGGGTTACCGGCTTCGTCGGGTAGACGAGTGTTAGTCAAAGATATGTAACACGGTATTAAATGAGAAGTTCACACGAGATACCGATCGGACTAAGTCAATATTAGATTGCATTGACATGCTTCAACGATACAGTCCATCTCACCGATTTTGGTGTGACGATCGTTCTAAATGATGCTCGGAGTTCGTTTCATTCTGAGGTAACAGTTGTGTTCAACGTGGTATTACATATATGTTTATGTTCAGAATTAAACAATTTTGAAAGTGAAAATATGAATAATGAAGATATAAGGCATAAACTACCTTTTACCGATCGATCAATTGATATATCGAATAATGCTGACCCCATCTACTGTTTATTCATACCGGTTATCCACGATTTTAAATTTAATATTGTTTTATTATTCAAATTGTTATGTTCGTGTAAGATTGTTTGTTGTTTAACGCAGCACTCAGCAATATTCTAGCTATATGACAGCGGTCAGTAAATAATCAACTCTGGACCAGACAATCCAGGGACTGATATCATGAGCATCGATTTACGCAAATGGGATACGATGACATGCATCAACCAAGTCAGCGACCACCCGATCCCGTCAGTCGCCACTTACACAATCAGAGTCGCATCGCTTGACACCCATTGCACTTACCTGATGTACATACAGAGTGTGGGTGGTATAAAGGCGACCCCGTTAATCCGGAAAGTGAAATTGTTCACTTTAATCCTAAATCCGGATCAAAGAGTCGTTGTTATGTCAACCATACACTTCCGGGCAAAAGAAAGTATGCACTAAGTCTTAAAAATTGTATATGAACCAAAACGTAAAACTTTATTAAAACGTTACAAGGTTGATATCAGTCGCCGAAACACTGCAAACGTTATGTCTAAACACAACCATGAGACCTATATAAAATACATCACCATCGAGGTGAGGTGAGGTGAAATGGGGTTTAACGTCGCGTCCACTTATATAGCGACATGCATGTACGTGTATGTGTTTGTGTGGCTGCTTGTACTGGACTGATGCCGATTTATAGTGCTAGCTCACTGAGATACCATGTCGCAGTTTAACATGAATATTCCCACTCAGACACAGTATACTGACTCCGAGCCGACCAGTCCTTGTTTTAGCCCCTTAATACCGAGCGCCAGACAGGGTAACAACAAGTACCATCTTTTAACGTCTTTTGGTATGACGCGGCCGGGGATCAAACCCCGGACCTTCCGCTCTCCGGGCGGATGCTCTACTACTAGACCACGGAGGCGGTCTCACCATCGAAACAACATTTCTTGTTTGTTTCATTTTAGCCATCATTATCCGTGGGGGTATACTTTCGGTTGCCCTGCAATTTATGTTAGGTTCACAAGATCGTCCGTCAGAAGGGGTTTGCGGTATAACGAGGTTTCGATGTATATACATGACAGGCTCATTAACCAGTAGCATCACGATATCGGTATTAACTGTGATGTCTCTATACTGATTGACATTTGAGATACATTGTTAGAAGACACATTGAGGTCTGTTAACGGTAATTACTCATCACACCGAGAGTACTATTTCTTTGTGTGCAAACTTCAACAATGTTAAAGTCACAATAATGATAAAGTGTTTGAGCACAATTGAACTTTAAGTCGGTACTTGGGAATGAAATACGGGGCTAATACCGTTACTTTGATGAACTGAAATGTGAAAATACAACCAACGCATTTTCAACTGTAAGGAGCGGAGGCGTTTTGGGATTATCCAGATCTTTGAAGAAAACACCCGTTCTCGGGATTCATTGCCGTCGCAAACATCCAATTTAATCCTTTTTAATCCTTTCCCACTTTTTAAACAGCTAGACAGTGGGGCCGTTTTGAAACAGAAATAAAACGACGATAACTTTCGTATAAAATGTTCTACTGAAATGCACATCAGCTGTTTGTTATTGGCCCCAAAGCCCGGGATTAAGGGCCGAGATTTGATGAAAGATACCGACTCTTTTATAACAGCCTTGCGATTGTCCGACGAAACATGACCGCCTCAAAACCGCCAGCTCATTTGTGTTGATAAGCTGGATGTATAGGTACTCACTGCAGCTTCAAATGCGCTTCTGGGAAAGAATCCGTGCGTGCAATCTAAAATATGCGACATATGGTAGCATTTTATCTTTTAATTTGGTCGTTTTGTATTCCAAGCTTACAGTCAAATGGTGTTGCTTACCACATGAATATTCGTCTTATCTCATTCACATGTCGTTTACCTCTTTGGGTACAAAAGGCACGCGGAATTGATCAAAATGACTATGATAGACTGTATTGTAAATGTTTGTCTGCAGACAAACTGTTTAACATTTTACCATACCATTTTTTTTTGATGGTATATTTTGATTCTGACAACGTTAACGCAACGAAGTCACGTTCGCCATGTAAAAATGGGTTTGCGTTAACTCATGTTATTTTGTTAAATATGAAACCGTTTTGAGATGCATTATATTATATAATATAATTTCTTTGGTTCCGTGAATTTAATTCATTGAATGTTTTTTGCTGCAGTCAGCAGTATTACGTAAGTGGTTGATAGCATGAACACCTTCACCCAGGACAACAAGATGTGATGACACACAATGATCCCAGCCATACTTTGAAACAACCCGATTCATAATTAGGGTGGTCATAAAAGCTTAACTGCAGGGCAAAAGAAAGCATGCACTTAAAGATTGGATTTGACCCAATACTTACAAACGTTATCAAAACGTCACTTTGTTGAAGGAAATCCCAGAAACACTGCAAACTTAAGATCCGAAACACAACCATGGTACCCGTATCAAATATATCACGATCGAGTAACCATTTCGTGTTTGTTTCATTTTTATCCCGCAGTCAAACATAGGTGTGTACTTTTCTCTTGCCGGGAATTTTAGTGTAGGGTTCATTAATCCATTTCTTCCATGAACACACAAGGGAATTAATTAGAAAATGAACTATTTGTTATATCACTGCAAACATTCACGGCGGACAATTCATGATCTGTTTACAGATCGTGTTGGGGTTAGCATTAGCGCGGTTGAACAGCATTACTTCATGTAGCTATATATAAACAATCGCCAGTTTGGCTTATTTACTAATAAACAAAAGTCAGTGGTCATAAATATTTCATCTCAAGTGAAATATTATACAGTGAACTACGGTTATAACGAACTCAAAGGGACTACTAATTTTAGTTCGTTATATCCGTAGTTCGTTATAAGCATATATACAGCATAACTACAGCAGATATTCGGGGTCAAAAAAGTAAGTTCGTTATATCCGTCAGTTCGTTATAAGCGTGTTCGTTATAACCGTGGTTTACTGTATTCTTATATTCATATATGAGTTTTTCTTATAACAGTCAACTTCTTAGCATGTGAAAGGAATTTGATAAACACAGTTCATATTTATTATCTTGCAGGTCTACGTCTACTCAATGCCATCGATCAGCCATGGAAAAGGAGATCTTCCTAATCATTGTCCTCACCCACGTTTCAGTTAATTCTTATTTAACTCTGGTGGAGGAAGCCAGTCACCCAGTACTGTTAGGTAACGTGGCCAATCTCACAGACATATCCAGGATACTGGCATCAGAAGACCTCAGCTCACTGAGATACACTATAGTTTCTCGTTCAGACAAACTGGACAGGAAATTCGAAATTGATGATATTTCAAGTGACCTATCTGCAGTAGAAGCTATCGACAGAGAAGAAATGTGCAGCGATGTACAAGAGTGTATTTTGAAAATGGACATAGCCGTGCAATCTTTGACTAGTGCGTTTTTCATGAAATTTCACGTCAATATAAAAGTTATTGACATCAATGACAATACACCTGAGTTTGAAGTTGAAAGTTTTCGTACGAGTGTTGCGGAAAATGCGAAAATTGGGTGGTCCATAGCGCTCCCTAATGCTGTAGATAAGGACGGGTCAGCTAATAATCATTTAATTTCCTACAATTTATCTCCAACGCATATTCCATTCGACCTGGAGATTAAAGATAATACACCCTGGTTAGTGCTGGTATCCCAGCTTGATAGAGAAACAACACAGCGTTATATAACATCGGTCATAGCCATTGATGCTGGGGATACGACAAGGAATAGTACTCTGTCCGTGTATATTAATGTTAGCGACGCCAATGACAACCCTCCAGTGTTTCAACAGAAGTCATACGAAACAAGGATACCCGAATCTATAAATACAAATGCTACCATTCTACAAGTTACAGCTGAAGATTTAGACGCGGGTGTAAACAGCAGAGTGGAGTATTCGCTTGCTAGAGACAATGCACCAAATGTGAAAAAGTATTTTCAGATAGATCCTTTATCTGGTGGAATACGTGTTCTGACATCATTACGATCGGAAGGTGGGAAACAATTTGATATAACGGTACAAGCCTCCGATTCGGGTTTTCCTGTACTGTCAGCATATGTTTATATAGCCGTTTTCATAACGGATACCCAGAATGACGCTCCGTCGATAAACACACAGCTGCTCTTCAGTCGAAACGGAGTTGCATCGATTCAAGAGTCTTCTCCCTTTGGGCGAGTTGTCGCCCTTGTTAATGTTGACGATAACGATTCTGGTTTTAACGGCGAAGCCATTTGCTCCATGGAAAATAACTATTTTCAACTTCAAAGACTTCAACAGAACGAATATAAAGTGTCGTTACGACGACCATTGAACCGAGAGCTGATATCAAAGCACGATCTCGTCATCAGCTGTCACGACTTGGGAAATCCACCTTTAACATCCACATCGTCGTTTACAGTTGTAGTTGAAGATGAAAATGACAGCCAACCGGTGTTTGAGAGTGACATATATCGGTTTGTTGTTCAAGAAAACTCCACACTACCCATGTACATAGGCAAGGTTTCGGCGCTGGACAGGGATGCGGGGATCAATGGTGACGTGATGTATGACCTTGTCGGTGACGTCAACAACAAACAATTCATGTTAAGTATAAATAACACGGGTCACATTGTAGCAAATACATATCTGGATTATGAAATGTCGTCCCAAATAGTTCTGAACGTATCCGCAATTGATATGGGAGAGAATCCCTTAACAGCCACAACCACAGTATTCGTCAACGTTACGGATAAAAATGATAACTTTCCACTGTTTGAAAAATCGCTATATTCTTTCCGTATCCTTGAAAACGAGCCTGTGAAATATGTACTGGGGTGTGTGTTAGCTAAAGATGCTGATTCAGGAGGGAACGGAAATGTATCCTACACCGGATTGACGGAAGGCAGACAAGATGTCTTACCTTTCTCAGTGACGTCAACCGGATGTGTTACCCTTTCTGAAAAGTTGGACTACGAGCGAATCAATACATACGAATTCGGAATTGTAGCAACAGATCACGGAGACCCCGTTATGAACACGACGGCTTTTGTGTCGATTTCTTTAATCGATGAAAATGACAACAATCCTGTTATTGTATTTCCTATGGAGAATAATGACACCATCGTCATCGGACACAGAACCGCAGCAAAAACAGACATCGCTGTAGTCCAGGCTTATGATATGGACAGCAGTGAAAACGGCAAGTTACTTTACTCGTTAGTTTCACAAAATGAGTCGGATCTCTTTGAAATTGACACTACTTCCGGGTATATTTCAACCACACGTGAAATAGACATAGTACATGATATAAACACCTACATACTGTGGATCCATGTGTCTGATTGTGGCACGCCTCAGCTACAGGCAACAGCTTATCTCAACGTTCAAATTCAGGAATTATCGGTGATGGATGAGGGAGTTTCAGACCGCTTCAAGAATTTAAAGATTGTTACGGTTCTGGTTTGTGTGACGGTTCTGTTGTCCTTATCGGTCATGACGATCGTGTGTCTTATTAAATATTTGGACAAACGAAAAAAACAGGTTACGATTACCAGACCTAGACATCTGGGTTTACGAGACTTCAACGAGATCACGATCGCCCCTGAAATGTACAACTCCACCACATCTGATAGGACGAAATATGTTGCTAATAACATGTCATACCTCACTGATTTATCTGATGGTCCATCAGTGTACACAAGTACAGCCTCAAGGCAAAATAGATACAATGATGTCATAAGGTCGTCACGTGACCCAAAAATGAACTCAAAAGATGATGATGATGATGAAAAGAAATCATGTCGTCATCATAAAAAGGTAGGTTGTATCAGATTGTCGAGTTGAATTTAGTACAGATGTGTTTGATTAGGTCTCCGATTTTATGTTGTTGCTGATGGTGTGATGGGGGTGACGGATGTTGGCGAAAGGCGTCGTAAGACTGCAGGCGAGGAACTACACAGTATGACAGCAATAAACTCGGATATCTCGAATGTATAAAGTATCTCGAATGCCTGAGTATGTCAATATACTTTGATATATATAACAACATACATACATACATACGCACGCACGCACGCACGCACGCACGCACGCACGCATGCATGCATGCATGCATACATACATACATACATACATACATACATACATACATACAGTTGCATATACAGAAGTATCGACTTGTTTTACAGGATGTGACGTTGTTTTCGGAATGCTATTCATTTTAAAATGAATCATACTGATCCTCACTTTGAACCTGTAAATCAATTTGTATACTTTCCAAAACTTTGTGCTTTTGATATGTATCGTTTTATATCGAAAATCGATATCGCTTTGCTGATCAATATTTGATTCATTATTTTGTCACTCACATATTGTGTCAGGGTCAGTTTTTGTATATGCTGGTTATCTCGAACGATCAGATGTACCGATTGTTTGAGATTATAGTTACTGTGGGTCTTTGCAGAGAGTTATAGGTTAGATTTTTTGTGACTGTATTCTAATTCACATTTATTAGATAAATCAGCTTATCCAGAATATTGACGCAAATATTTGCAGGCGATGCAAGCTGGCGTGAACACATGGAAGCCCGTCAATGACCTTCACTCTGATCCTGAGGTCAGCGTCCTTGACATTATGCAGCGTCACAATCAGGTCGTGCGGTCGGTCAAGGCCAACCGAAAACAAAGACATAAATGTGTATGTATCCAGACGATTTGTACGTTTACGGTGAATGTTACGTCGCAACGGTATCCCACCTATATTACAAGTCCGTATTCGAACCTGCACCAAACGAACCAGTGGTCGATACCATGAGCAACGAACTACGTCGACTGTAAGCGATGATGCACAATCAGCTTCGTTAGAAATACATACGTCTTGGTACCTTACCTTTTCCGTTGACCCCACGAAGACATAGCTGATTGCTTTACAGTAATTCATCAAGTTTAACAGATGGTGCTGATCCACACCATTGAAGAGCTTCAGCAACAGGAGGAGAACTGACTGTTGTAACCTATGATTGTGAGTTCGAATTCAGGTTCGCCACGATTATGTTGCAAGGTTTTTCAACGCCATACCCACGCACGTGGGTTTCACCAAAGTGAAAACGCTTGCGAAATGCATCACGTCAGGCTTTCCTCCCACATTAAGCTGACACGCCGTGATATAACTGGAATACTGTTCAAAACGGCGTTAAACTCAACTCACTCACTTGCAGATAAAACCCCGGAATCAACAATTATTAGACACGTTGTTTTAAGTCATTTATTTATGAACCCTGTGAATGAGAGAAAGGTATTGACGCGAAGTCTGTGTTTAACAGTTCTATTTAAATCCTTAAAAAATAGAGGGTAAAATCTCTTTGATCCTTCGGTATTTTATTATTTCCCCGCATCTTCCATCCACGGGGGATTCCGGGGGGTCTGCGTGCGCCCCCGGTTATGGATGATAAAACCCGTATAACAAACTGTAGCTGTTCACTAAGCCTAGCTTCGGAAAAATCGTTGTCTTTATTGTTTGGTGAAAATATGTGCTTGGCAAGTATGAGAAACAAGTCTCAATTTAGTTATGTTGTCGCAAATATTTATCTTTACTGATTCATGGCAGTGATACTACTTTTCGTCTTTCAACTGATATGATGTCCTTTCCTCTCTGTGTTTGATTTACAAAGTGACTAAATATTCAAATAGTCATTGTTCTATTTCATGTAGGTAGCTGATGTATTTTACAAAGAAGAGTTGGGCTGGAGCCCCAGAGATCCCCTCGAAAGTGACAGCGGTGTCGGCGGCAGTGATATCGAGATGAAAATGTCTAAGGTTTGCCCCCCTCTATATTCGACACCTTTGATCATAAATATTAAAGGTATCAGTCGTAGACTAACATTTAGTCTCTGAAATCTTATATTACACAATATCCTTCTTGACTCTAAAAATATAAAAAATAGAGCTAGCTTGAGCTGGCTAGACTTGCTTTTGTATGCATTTCTAGATTATTTTTTTCATAAAATAAATATATTGCACGGTCATGGTGCAGGACTACCTAAGTCGCTGTAATGTGCTATACATAGTTTCCCTTAGTTGATCCCGGAGCCGATGATAGTTATTATGATTTTTGTAAGCACCTTACCCGTCGGTTCACCAGAATGCCAAGTGTTTTGAACCTTCGTGAAGCTGGTTTTCTGCAACCCATATGGTGCTGACACGACAAGCACTGATTGTTTAAAAGCTCAGCAATGTCCCTGAACTAAAATCGTTTAAGTTTAGAGAGTAATCAAGATTGTTGTTATCTTAAGCATATATTATCAATAATCGCACCTAAACAAACAACTCTTGAGGCCACAATAAATTAATTATGAGATATTTCAGCTCAATTTCCAAATATGTGGACCAGGGGCTTTATATACAAGACCGCCTCCGTGGTCTAGTGGTAGAGCGTCATACCAAAAGACGGTAAAAGGTGGTACTTGTCGTTACCCTGTCTCTAACAACGACTCGTTTGCTCGGAGTCAGTATACTGTGCCTGAGTGGGGTATTAATGTTAAATTGCGGCATGGTATCTCAGTGGGCTAGAACTATGAAGTCGGCATTAGTCCATACAAGTACAAGCACCCCCCCTCCCCCCCACGTGCAATAATCTTGGACGCGACGTAAAATACCATTTCATCTCCCCTCACCATTATTTACAACTCAAAAGAAGTTAAATAACACCCGATGTTTTTCAAATGACTATAGTTAATCTGTCATGGCTGGCGGGTATTGCAACTTCCTTCATTCCAGTTGTGGGTGTTCTGACATGTTTTGAGTCTATAATTTTGTTCAAGGCATAATTTTTTAAATTTCAAATATTTTTGCAGATTACGATACCTGTTTAGGAAGGATGGGTGTCGAAGAAGCAAAAGACAGCTGTTTTCTGTGTCTCTGTGATGTGATGATGACCGACAACCACGTGCCGCAATCTCTGTCATCAGCAATTGACCGCTACCGTGGCGATGCCCTGTCTCCATAGTGCATTTGCTCAAAGCGGAACGGAATTTAGTTTCAAATCCAACGTAAAATTCTTTGTATCCGGCCGTGAATAAAATACATGTTAACAATTTACGACTGAAACGATTGGCCGACACAACATCACGATATTCTCAAACAAATTATAAGCGTAAACAAATTTGTTTTGTTTGTCTGTTTGTTTGTTGTTTAACGCCGCACTCAGCAATATTTCAGCTATATGACGATGGTCTGTAAATAATCGAGTCTGGACCAGACAATCCAGTGACTGATGTCATGAACATCGATCTACGCAATTGCGACACGATGACGAAGGGTTTCTGAAGACCTTTTCTACCTCGGATCTGCACGGGTCTCATGACTTGTAGAGAATCTGTTCAAGATAATAGAAATAACATGTGTAATTTATAGCTTTAAAAACCTCATTCTAATGGCCTATCAACTGGCTGAAATTAGCAATTTGGGTTTATGACAAGTCCAATATTCAGTACCGTACCGAAAGGTGTGTTGGAAAACTATTTTTATCTGATGTTAATCCATAACTCTGACCTGATATAGAGCTCCCTCGGTGGTATCATCAGTTTTCGTTTAGATCTCCATTTTATGTGACATATTTTTATCAAAACGGAGAAAAAATACACTGTGTGTTTGGTGATGTTGTTACAACGATATGTTGTATCGTTATTCGTTTTGCGCACATCTTTCCCTGCTTGTAATTGCACATATACTGTGCACATTCTACACAGAAATATACCTTAGAGAATTATGTCCACGCATAGTTCATACAGAATTATATATCGGTGAAGGTGGTTCGCTCGTCACGCCGAAAACCCGGGTTCGATTCTCCACATGGGTACCATGTGTGGAACCCATTGCTGGTGTCCCCGCCGTGATTTCGCTGGAATATTGCTAAAACGGCATAAACCAACTCCCTCAATCCATTCAAGTCAATCTGAGCATAGTTTGTGCATGCAAGTTGAACATTAGGTGCATCGTTTTACTCCCTCTAAAATATATAAAATAAATAAAAACATATTTGAGTAAAAACAATATTTCAGTCATTGCAAATAGCACTTCTACCTTATACCCAACATCTCACCTCTCGGGGAGTGTAAATACTTTCAACTCATTCTGTGAAGCCGGCATCATTTTGTAAATAAACCTCTCCTCAATGATAACACAGTTGTCCGTATTATTGTGTTTAAGCTCGTGGAGTCCCTCTTGTGTTCATTTCGTCGTGTTGGATTGTGTGTTATGTCAGTGTAGTATTTATTCAAATCCTCTAACGCCAGCTTCGGTCCACAAAATTGAATAACAAATGAGCTCATTTTTATCTGAAATCACCACCATTTTTGGAAATTCACACCTGAAATTGACAAGTTCAGCTTCAAAGACACCGCCATCAATACAGGCCTGTAAACTAATTTGTGGTCCAATTTATATAACACGAGGCCACGAAATGAACTACCCGGGGTCAATTAGTCCGTAAATCCACGGGATGAAACACTTCTTTGTCAACTCACAATATGGACAGTGTCCCGCTACAGACGCTGACCGAGAACATAGACTTGTCTATTGCAGACCGGGTGATGAATGTTATGTACAAGCTGCGATGTGATTCGCCAGGTGTTGCTAACACAGGCGGAGAATTAGGATTGCCAGGGTTTTGTTTTCAGCATATGATTTTGTCGATTGACCCCGGCTAATTAGTTCCCATGATGGTTCTCTTTGATCAATATACCATTTTATCACCACGCCATTGTTGTGTTTATACTGCATATAATTCTCATCTCAGTATGCAGTCTTCATGGATCTAATATTGAAAATTCCATGTTTTTTTTCTAATTTTGAAAAATTGAACATTGTAAACATTCTTTAAAAAAGATAATGTATTTATAACTTTTAAAACCTTTGGAAACAAAACACAATAATGTTCCCCGCGAGGGTCTAGAAGAGCAGCACATGGGTGCGGACGCCTCTTGTTCATGTATACTGAAAACATTTATACACTTGGTTATGTCCTTGTGATGAGTACATAAATACCTCTGTAACGACGCTAACCCATTTGGAGATATATTTTCATTAAAAAAAATACTACTACTATTAAACGCGAATTTCTAGATCGCAAAATGTCAGCCTTCTGTTCCAAAAAGCTATACCTGAGCTTGTCAGCTGGTTGTCAAATCACTCACTCACTCACTCACTCACTCACTCACTCACTCGCGTGACGTGGTATAACTAGAATACTGTCCAAAGCGTCGTTAAAGCCAACATACTGACTCACTCACTAGAGCAGGTCACTAGTAACATATGTTTGTATAATGAGATTACTGAGTAAATTAGTGGTCAGACTCTGTGATTTGGTAGAATTCGTGAGGATTTGGGACGATGCTCATAATATCAATCACTGGTCTAGTTTCGATTACTTACAGATAGCCGCCATGTGGCTGGAATATTGTTGAGGGCGGCTGAAAGTAACAAACAAACAAACACATCAATTATTGTAATATTTTCACGTACAAAGAAATCTGGCAATGTATGACCTAATTTCAGTTCACAAACACATCATTTACACTGAAAGACACCATATTTCATAAATCCGAAAAGTTGTCATAAAATCAAACCACCTAGATTAATTGGGCGTTCCCAAGATAACGTCACTCCAGGTTTTGGCATAGATTCAAAACAACGAACAGATAGGGCAGCAGATATTCAAGTTTAATTCTCGTACTCGGAGCAAAACAAAACTATTTTATCTTCTCATCTATCATCATATCTTTAAACACCTCAACACGAGTATTCAGAGCATTTAACATGCCAAATTATGTACATAAATTCAACTTTCCCATCAAGGCCAAATCGACAGATAATCCCCAATTTTAGAACCTAATCTTCAATAAACGCATTCCGTTCGCGTCACCTTCCCGCGCGCCGACATGCCACCCTAGGTCGGTATTGCCGGAGCAGTCCTACACATAGCCAGGTTATTATCAATATTGTTTAAACATTGTTCCGTCAACTATGTTTGATGACGAGAAATCTTCACAGTTATTCAGGCACTTTATCACACTCTCCTTGCACTCAGCTCGTATCTTATCGTCGCCGCTTGACGCTTGATATGACTTTATTACTTTCAAGTAAACACTGCCATGTATTGGTGTGGATGGAATTCAGGCCGGGTGGGTGTGGATCAGGGGGTGCGGGGGCGGTGTTTAGGGTGTAGGGGTACGAGTATGGTAATTGGTTTGAGTAAGGTGATGAGTATGTTTCGAGTAAAATTAATATTTTCTCATATACTAGAATATTATTCCAAAAATATGCATTATCCTCTATTTGAATATTTATTTACAATTTATATATCCCATATTGAAAAAAAACTACTTTGATCATGCAGCCACAAAATTATATTGTGTTTTGTTTCGTTCAGAAATGAAAGTTAAAGCCAACTTTGCTAACTATACTACCTCACTCACTCGTTCACTTACAAATCCCTGTGCTGAATGTCCATAGCAAATGCCACACACGCCATGCTTACTTGGAGATGGATAGAATGAGGAAGGGATATATAAGATGGATGGATGGTTGGATGGATGGATGGATGGATGGGTGGGTGGGTGGATGAATGAATGAATTGATGGATGAATGGATGGATGGATGGATATACTCAGTGTTTAAGTACCATTTCCATCTGAACAAAGCGTTACACTGATAGGGAACATGAGGCATACCCAATGACTCTAATCTGACTAGAAATTAACAAACCATACTTGTAATATGACGAGGAATTTCAAAATTGTCAGATTTAACTCTACTACGCTTTGACCAAGCATAGATAAGATCGAGCGGCATCCTGAACTTGCAATGTTGACCTATATCATTGTACCACCTACATTCCGAACACGTCTATCACTCACGCCGCTTTTACCTACCTGTACATTATCAAGCAATAGACATCCAAACTGCAATTACAACAACACGACACGTTGCTTTTATCTCCTTCTGAGCCGTTCGGAACATTCGTAAAATTATGTGTTAATTCCATTTTTGTCAACTCACGCGGAACACAAATGATAAACCTAAAAATCAGATGAAGCGTGAAAAACATAATTTAGGCATATCCCGTAGCTAAATACATTCTGAGGGTCGCGAATGTCGTGTGTAGATACAGATGTGCTAAGAAAAGCGCTGACTTTTATTAAGCTACAAAATCTCTGGGGAGCTCAGAAGCTTTTTAGATCATTCAATTTTATTTTATTTGTTTTGGGACGCCGACTATTCACATCGACGCTGTGTGGATACAATGGATCGCGTTGTTCAGACTCAATGGAACTGTTCATATGAACAAACACAATACTAATGCAAAGTTACCTTTATTCCCCATTGATGTTAATTTATAATTTAAAAGATATGTTTTAGAGCTTTTCATGCTGAGCAGCACCACACGTCTTCATTTATTTATTCCTGACATCAAACTGCCTTCTATGATTTTAAAGTGATTTTTTTAAAGTTCAGATATAAACATCAGTAGGCTATTAAGGAAAGTCCAATCGAGGTTGTCGTTTCAATCCTGCTCCTTGAAGACTTATGAATATTAGAATAGATAAAATAAACAGGGCTGAATTTTCTCTGATGAAAATTTTCACTTAATGAAGGCCAGAACCAGACAGTAATGTATGGTCTTTATTGAAAGCTGTTGTCAAAAGTAAGGAGATGGCAGATGTTATTTGTTTCTTTGTTATTTCGACATAGTCCTCATGAAAACATTAAGGTTGATATAAGTAAACAGCTTTCCGCGTTTATCGTTATTTGTTTCTTCTGTTGTCTTATCCAACGTGAATTACATGTATTGTTGATATGAGCCAGCTATTCTCAACCGAGGAGAGAATGTTTCATCTCCTAAACCCACCAATAACTGAAACCTTGGTGATACTTTCCCCCAGCCGTTTATTCAGCATGTACATTTGATTATTATTTCCATCTTGTTTGTATTGTGAGCCTAAGGCCTAAAGTACTGAATAAAGTATATCTGTCATTGCAACATAGCTGTGCACGTTTATCGTGTTTTGTTTCTTCTGTTGCCTTGGTTTTCTTCTCAGATGATTAAATTATTTAGTATCAACGCAGCTTAACTTGGACATAGACATAGACACGGATGTATATATATATACAAAAATGAGGTAAATGTTCACTCGGTGTACATGTAATATATAATAAAATAATAAAGTCCACGTTAGTCCATCATCTTCTTTATATCAGTTTCAGACATAGTACTTTCGCTGTCTCATGACACTGTACACTGACGAGCTGTCATGAGACAGCGAAAGTACTATATATATATAAGCGGGGTTGCATATAAGAAAATAATTAAAATGGTGTAGTCTATTTCCCTCCCATATAGTGTGCCGGAAACCTATGATCGTGAATTTGAATCCCCGTTTCGCCTTTAAGCAGCGTTAACTTACATCCCCTCACTCGTCAAACATATGCAATGAACAGTATCGAACAGATAATAAGACAGACAGCGTGTTTGTAGATTACAACGTACATGAATAAAAACACTTCAAGTAAAACGACACACCTTCTTCCACACTGGTAACTATATCACGTGACATATTGAAATGCCCTTAAGTCCTTAATACGCAGTATATGCTAAATTATTAATAAAATATGGAACTTTAGCCCGAGTTTCCCACGTGCTAGGGTGAGCTGAATATACCTATGTGAATTAACCTCAGGCGTTGTTCAATAAAACAGGGGCTTTATGACCAGGGATAAACCTACTCGGGTGATGCCGCAAAACAGTTGTGAAGCCTCCTGCTGGCATAGGGGTGTCACTGCGGTTTTATTGTTTTATGACATTTTGAAACCTTCCCAAAGATGCTGAGTTGAGTGACAAGCACATTTTGCTCTTTTCGTGTTCGTCTCTTTTGTAACATGGCGATGTTTATAAGATATGTTTAACAACAAACTGAAGATGTGAAAATATGTTTTGATTTTGGTTTGTTTCATCTTCACGATAATCGTTATCGATCAACATTTATTATGAAAAAACATTCGTGTTAAGATAAAGATTTAAGATAGTCTCTGGTTTGCTTATATCAAATAAAAAAATGTGCATTCAAGACGTCAGCACCAGAGTTTAATCAGCCTCGAAAAGCTA